ATTTTCGCTTAAGGACGGCAATTCGTTCCTATTGGAACGGATTATCCGGTTTTCAATGCATTTCAATGGGAAACCGCATTTTGCTTAGTGATGAAATCGCTTAGCAGTGATTTTTCGGAATGAATTAACATCGCTAAGCGAGGCACCACTGTATTGTACTGGTTGTGCCGAGGTTCATGGCTCATTTCATTATAGATGTAGGTAATGAATGTATTTCAAACATTTTTCAGAGGATACAGTACCTACAGATTACCTAAACCACACAAAAATGTACTTTATAACAGTTACGTGCCATTAAGTTGAAATCAATTTATAGCAACCATTATACGGTGTTCAAGGTAAGTGAAGTATTTAAGGATTTATTTCACCAGTTCCACTCTCCCCGTGAGTTTTGATGTCCAAATGGAGATTCAAACCCTAGAATCGCATATAACACTAGGAACAGCATTTTGGCAATTTATACGATTCAGTGCAAATATTTTTTTAAAAAGAGAGAGGAGAAATTGACCCCTTTCCAAAAGAGATGGGCAATACATCCAACATACAAGGAATTAGAAAATGGGTGCCTTTCTGGTAGCTTATTTTGAAGAACATAATTATCCTGTAGCAGACTTTAAATTCTGGGTTGGGTATTAAGTATAACAAATTACACAATCTTGTTGGAAAAAAGAAATAGAAAATATTTTAAAATTAAAAACTCTGGATGTTTCAGGTTTAAATGAAGAACAGTCTTCCATTCATCCCACCCCACTACTGAACTGGATACTCTTTTAAAATAAATTTTGGTATTTTTTTAAATTTAGACAACATATTAAATATTACAATGTAAAAATATCTAAATGCTTCTACATTAGATGTTTCACATGTTTAAATGCATAATCCATTGTACATTTATGAAGTGCCTTGTATCTATATATTATAAGGCCCTGACACTACAAAATGTCAGAGAATAAAGGGTATTTTCTGAAATAAAGGAAACTAAGGACCAAACAAGAATGCAATTCATAGCATCTTTTTAGAAGATATGTTCCCTCTGAAGTAATCTGTCACAGATTGAAATATCTGCCATAGGACTTGATTACCTTCCCCTATGTATCTTGCATTTGATACTGAAAAGTAAATACAGTACACTACAGGTACATGTTTCACTGGCAAGTCTGACTGCTGAGGCATAAAATCTCACAAAAATTTATTAATTTTATAAAATAGCATCTAGTATGATGCTTAGAGTTCAAAACTAGAGATGGGCATGAATTTAAAAACGAATTGCAAAATTTGTCAAAAATTGCTAATTTGACAATCATATTCATATGAATTGATAACCCTGACAAATACATATCGATAATTTTTTTTTTGCAATTTTTGATCCCTCTGGCTATAAGTGGCCCACGAGGCCTAGAGACACCAAAATTACAGAAAAGCTTCCCCTGACTCTCCTCTACAATCCCTCCAAGCCTGGTGAAGATAGGGTTTTCCCCCAAGCCAGCTGCTAAAGGGCAGTGGTTGATTTCCTTTAGAATTGATAGGTTTGTTCTCCTTGCAGTCCAGGGGACTCTCAAGGGCCTCCTCCAACAACACAATTCAAAAGCATCAATTCTTCGGCGGTCAGCTTTCTTTATGGTCCAGCTCTTTAACATAACTTAATTGATTACTTGCTTTTATGCCTTGTGTTTCAACTAAAAATAATGCTCATGATAGCTTATAAACTTCTTAAAAGAATGAAAACAAAATCATATTTAGCCAACAATCGTTTCACCAACTCAACTGTAAACCTATAAAAATCAAATTAATACATTAAAGCCAATTAAAAACAAGACAGGATACAATTCAAACAATATCAAGGAGCAATTTAGACATAATATGCCACTCTAAAAAGTTGTATTTATTTATTTATTTTATTTATTTATTTATTGGACTTATATACCGCCCCATAGCGCTACAAGCACTCTCCGGGCGGTTTACAATTGTAATTATACAGGCTACACATTGCCCCCCCAGAAAGCTGGGTACTCATTTTACCGACCTCGGAAGGATGGAAGGCTGAGTCAACCTTGAGCCGGCTACCTGGGATTATTCCCGTCTTAAAATCAATCCAAATGGAAACAGATCGCGACTTGGATGGCAGACACAGACTACTTTGAGCAATTACTATTTACTAGTATGTAGTGGGAATTATATACACTATAAAATGCCTCTGCTATTCCTTAAATACATTAGGAAGACATTTATTATTTCCTCAATTCACTCTTTCAAAAACTGACTATAAATTGTTTCTGTAAAATAACACTAAGGTACTGTTTCTAGGACCAATGGTGTTTTCCATCTTTGGCATTTTTTTCCTAGAAAAAAATGTAAGACTGCAATCCCATATTCACTTACTTTAAAATTAATGTATGTCTATTTTTCCTCAACAGAGGTTACTTCTGAATAATCAATTGTAACATTACACTGCTAGATGTGACAAAAGTACAGTGGGGTCTTGACTTAAGAACGGCTTGAGTTAAGAACATTTTGACTTAAGAACCGCTCTCATAGGAAAATATTGACTTAAGTACTTAGATTTGAGTTAAGAACTGAAAAAAACCCACGTGGGAGGCAGGGAAAGTGCAAAAAGTGAACTTTCAGTTAACTGTTGGCCAGTGAAAAGGGTGCCTGTCTGCTTCCTCACTCCTCCCAGTGTTTAGAGAGTGGATTGGGAGACAGTCTTCAGACTGCCTGGTACTGTACTGCCTGGACTGTATTTTCCCTGCCTTCCCTGAACCTTTCTTGACCTAAGAAAAAAAAGAAACAAGATATCCCCCTCTAGTGGTCGAAGGCGGAATAGCAGCTTCTCATTAGTTTCTATGGACGGAAAAGAGCAGATACGGATTAAACGGTTTTCAATGCATTCCTATGGGAAATGCAGATTTGACTTGAGAACTTTTTGACTTGAGAACCGCCTTCCAATATGGATTAAGTTCTCAAGTCAAGACCCCACTGTACAAAAGTTACCTCTCTTTCATGATGGGTGTTTCTATTTTTTTAAAAACACACACAGTGAAATGAAATACAACTTATTTTTCTATAGAGCTAGCTCAGCAAATGAAAATATCTCCAAACCGTTCAATTTTTAAAGCAAATCACAACTATACACTTCAGCAACAAAGAAAGACAGGTCCAAACTGGTCCAAACCATATACATGCATATTTACAGGATCTAGACCAAATCATACTGAAATATGTTCTCTATCATTCATTCACACACTGTGTTGTATACAAAATACACTACAAGCTGCAATTTCACAACATATTTTATACTCTATTTATGCCTATTTTCCAAGCACTCTGCAGCACTTTATTTAGAGGGAGAAATATATATATACCCTGTTTCCCCCTAAAATAAGACCTAACCTGAAAATAAACTCTATTATGATTTTTCAAGATGCTCGTAATATAAGCCCTACCTCAAAAATAAGCCCCAGTTAAGTGAAACCCCGCCGTCCACCATTGTGCAGCAACCAGAAGATGACATGACTGCATTTGAATAAATGTACATGGTTGTACATGACAAAAATAAAACATTCCTTGAAAATAAGCCCTAATGCGTTTTTGAAGCAAAAACGTAATATAAGACCCTGTCTTATTTTCGGGAAAACAGGGCGTTTCCATTCTTTCCATAAACTTTTCATCATCCTAATCTTAGAACTTCAGAGTCCAGCCCCTGTCAAGGAGGCACAGCGGGGAATCAAACTCCCATTCTTTTAATGATAACAATAATGGTAATTAACTTTTAATGATACATTTCTCGCCGCTTCAACACTTCGCGATTCCGTGTTGCCCCCCAAATCACCACAGAGGTACGAAAACGGAGTCTCCACCTCTTAGGGTGAGTACATTCAAAAGAACTCTTCACATGTTCTAAGGCACGTTTCACAAGGTAGGCGCGAAAAAGCACCCTAACCCAGAGCCGAGAGGTGAGCCAGCCGGCGTTAAGCGCAGGGACCTCCCTCCGAGGGGGTCGTACCTGTTGGAGGGCCCCGCAGTTGGCGCAGGCTGTGGCCGCTTCCGCCGCGATTCCCGCCGTGGTCGCCGCGGGCGGTGTCTCCCCGGGCATCATGGTTCCCACCGCCGCCCCACGAGCCCATCCGTCGCCCGGGAAAACCTGCGGGGAGCAGGGGGGCGCCCGGCGGCGACAGGGATAACGGAAGGCACACGCAAAGACAACGGAGACTACTCACGGAAACTCCTGGATTTAAAAAGCCCCAAGGCGCGACGCATGGCAAGAAAAGGCCCTCCTTCCCAGAGAAAAGCTGTTTATAGCACTGCCTGACGAAAAGGACTGCGATTTTTTTTTGATAGAAACCCAATTTTTCCCTTCCTCACCCGCCGCGCTGAGCCCGAAATCCACAATAAAAATAAAAACCTCGTTTAAAAAATGTTCCCGACAGGACCTTTTGTCGCCGGAAAAAGGCAATACGTTAGATAACCCTTCTTCTAATCGGCGTCTATCATGCAGAGGAAAGACTACAAATCCCAGCATGCCCTTTCTGCGAGATCAAGCGTGAGATACTGATGGACGAATGGTTGATACGCTGTAATTAATTAACCGGCTCTCCTGTTTTTTGGGGGAAAAGCAGCACCGTAACTGATTAGCCCCATTTGCACCAGCTTGTACTCGCAGATGTGCGAACTTAACAATTTGGACGTCAGCAAATCGGCAAGTCAGCTGTGAGGGCATAATAGGAGGAGTAAAGCGATAAATAGGTGTGTGCAATAACTGACGTTGTTATTTAGTCGTTAAGTCATGTCCGACTCTTCGTGGCCCCATGGGTTATAGTAGGAGTAAAGCGACAAATATGTGTGTGCAATAACTGAGGTTGTTGTTTAGTCGTGTCCGACTCTTCGTGACCCCATGGACCAGAGCACACCAGGCCCTCCTGTCTTCCACTGCCTCCCGGAGTTGTGCTAAATTCATGTTGGTTGCTTCAATGACACTCTCCATCCTCCGTCGTCCCCTTCTCCTTCCTTCACCCTTTCCTAACATCAGCGTCTTTTCCAGGGAAATAACTGACATAGTTAAATTAAATCACTAGGTGGTCATTTACAGTGAAATAAGGCTAGTCCATCATCCTGCTCAGCATTGCGGTTCTATTTGCAGATCCACAACGTAACTACAACAACCACACCACTCTTCATTTTCTCCAGAAAGGACGTCTTCAAACACAATTCAGGAATCCCGCTTGGAAATACTAGGTTGGGGACGTTTATTTTACTTCCCATCAGAAATGCTGAAACTGTCATGGTCTTGACCTTTAACAATAGAAAGGTACTAAGCATATGATCAATAGTACAGTACTGTACTTGTCAGTCTATTCACCAAATGAAATTTTATTTGCCAACAAACCCTACATTGCTGTCATTTATTTTCACTTGTCAATCAAAATCTTGTGGGATCTTAGTAGTACTCTGATTTCTACCATGCATAAATGAAAGAACACATAAAAGGACAGTTTTTTTAAAAGAAAGGTTTCCTAGTGGAACAGCGAAATGCATATGATTGTTCGCAAAGACCAAGCAATTCCAGACTGCAATAAATGCAACTGATAGTGCTGCTTCTGACATAGAGGTAACACAACCAGTAACTTTTCAACTTTTTAATAAAGGCTTGTCATCTAGTTACCATACTCCAGATGGCACCAAAGATTATCCAGAGAGGAATCTTGCTTTAGTATTGCGATAACAAATGTTGAAAATAGTACAGTGTAGAAATATTTTCTACCTAGAAAAACCTGGAAAGTATTGCTGTACCTTGGAATCAACTTGACAGCATGCAATTATTAATATATTAGAAATGACAGGCAAATAAATGAGCCCAACAGAGAAATCCGCATGTGCGTTTTCACCTAGATTTTTAAAATAATGTCAATAAAATTTCCACCTAGCAGTCAAAGCAATCAGATCCAATTTTCAAAAATTGTTCCTTCATGCATTCCACTTTGTGATGTAAATATTTATAAAGAGCAACACCCCTTGGATCTTTCCCAATTCTATCTTGATGTCTTGTGCTTCTGTAAGATACACATTTTAGACAATGTAGTTTTAGAGAGTTGCATAAGAATAGCTAACTCATTCCAATAATGTAGAGAATAGAATAATTGGGGGGGGGGGAGAAACCATCACAAAGACTTGGAGGGGACATGGGGGGAAATTAAATGAAAACTTAGGGTTACAACTGGGGTGTACTTCTGGATTCATCCCTGAGCCAGGTCTTGGCAGTAGTCAGGAGTGCATTTGCACAGGTAAAACTGGTGTACCACTTGCACCCATTTCTGGAGATGTCTGACTTGGCTACAATGACACATGTCTTAATTACATCCCAACTGGATTACTGCAATGTGTTCTTTATGATGCTGCCCTTGAAGAGTGTGCAGAACTTTCAGCTGCTCCAAAACAATGCAGCCAATGACAGGCCAGCTATAGGGAACATTTAACACCTTTCCTCCAACAGTTTCACTGGCTACCAGTCCATTTCTGGGTACAGTTCAAAGTGTTAGTTATGGCCTGTAAAGTCGTGTTATCTGAAAGGCTGTAATTTAGGGCCAGTTTATCTGAAAACCTGAATCCTGCCAATCATTAAAATTTGCTAGAGAAGTCCTTCTCATGGTCCCACCACCTTCAGAATCTCTAGTGAAGACTTGAGAGACGTCCTAATGGATGTCTCTGTCTCTGGAACTCCTCGCCAGGAGATCTAGGTTTGAACCCTTCATGAACCCAGCAGCAGGAAAATTAAAAGAAAATTTAAGCAAGGCTTCGTCAATTAAGAGTCTCTTCAGACATGGGATCTGTCTTGAAAATCAGACCTGTCTGTGTGTGCCTGGGAAGTTGGCTACAGCTGGGACAGTTGGACCTTTGCCCACTGACAAAGAAGACTAACATCAAGAACTTATCTCCTGAGAAAGAGACATTCAAGGCCACTGCTAGCCAGTGCCTTGGTCCTGTGTTCATTAGGAAAATAACATTACCTATCTGAGAGGGGAGGGACACTAAAGATGCTCTGTCCTTCTCAAATATTCAAAGAGAATGATAGCTAACTAGTAGTTGGTGTGGAAACATTTAGAAAGGAAGATTAATGTATAAAAGGCCAGAAGTTACTTTTAGTGGGTTTAGCTTTGTGGAGATGCTGTGCTTGGTTGCTGTCTTGTTGTGAGGCATGTGCTCTGTGCATGCCTCAGAACTATGCTGACTTTCATACTTGTCTGTGAGTATTAAATAGTTTAGCTTTCTTATTTTGGTGCATCCTCTGGATTGCCCTAGCTTTGTCTCATAGTGCTTTTGCCTTCAAAATGCTTTTGAAGCCTTCTTGAACTTTTTGCCTTTTTACTCTCTTTAATAAAATATAAATGTTTTCTGATTGATTGGGTTTTTGCCTCTGAGATTTTGTGGTACTAAATCCAATCGTCCTTGACTAGGTTGCAGTTCTTTGTGGGTGTGGAAGCAGCTCTACCTTGCAAGGTGTGGGTAGTATTTCAAAGCAGTTAGCCTTGTGGGTTGGTGGACTCCTTGGAAGCAATGCCAAGTCTAGGAAGGCTGGATTGTTGGAAGGCACTGGTAACAGATTAGCTCCATAGTCATGACCACAAGTCAGCCTCCTCAGTTCATTCACCCACCCTAGGGCTAACAGGTTAGTGTGACTGAGTAGTTATAGAAGCCCCCCCCCCGCCGGACCTGGACAATCTTCACAGCTTTAAATAATTAATATGTAGAACAATGCTGCATTCCAGAGGTACAGATCTACAAAGTGATTATGCTGATTACATTGTTCTTATGAATTTTTACTTTCTTTGTTTATGTTGAAAACATCATACAGTAGTACAATTAATAAGTAAATCAGATAATTTTTGCCCAATGATGGGCAACATCATGAGCATCAAGTGTTCCATGGTATGTATTGAGGGACATAAGGGTACCCTGAAACAGCTGTGAAGTTGCATTTGTTCTCTGTACTTGCAAAGGACTGTATCAGTGTGAAAACCTGATATTCTTGGATGTATCATGGTTCTACTGTCTCTTGTCTACACAGCTTGTTAACTGAACCCAGTTCTCTGTGTAACTGGGAGCTAGACTTTCCTGGGGCACCAACCCTTTTAAGAGGTGGGTAGTCATTTCTTTCCAGGTAATGGTCTTTGCATTCTCTACTGCTCCTTGAAGATTCACAGATGTTCTGAAATATCTTTCCCTTGATTTTAATGTGGGAGGGATGGGATAGTAGCCAAAGAGTTAATATATTATATGTGAAATGTATTATACGTGAAAACTAAAAAACAAACAAACAAACAAAAAGTCAAAAACATGGTGGCACCTTAAAGATTAACTTTTATATTTTTTTAATGTGAGCTTTTGACAAGTCCGCTTCATCAGTGTTTGATGAAGTGGACTTGTACACAAAAGCTCACATTAAAAATTATAAAAGATAATCTTAAATGTGTCACCACATTTTTGTCTTTTTAATTTTTATTTTGTTTTCACCTATTATGCTTGCATAGACTAACATGGCTGCCCCTTCTACAGCTACATTTAATGAAGATCCTTTGAATGTTTCACTGGTACCTCTCTCTATATGCCATTGGGTGCAATGCCTGCTAGGTAATTGATTTTAGCACTGGGATTGACTTCAGGGATCAGTAATGGTTCTACATCTTTCATCGAGTGCTGCATCTACCAATTTTGCATGGGCTGAACCATGCCACACTGGGCTGGTATATTTGTCAGCAGAGCACCATAGGGTCAAGGCTACAGTTCTCCATGTTTGTGGTTACGTATCAGAAGTGGTTCCCAATAACCTTAGAAGAATATTGTTCCTTGAGGAATCATTTGCTTCATATTTAGGCAGTGTTTCTTATAGGTAGTGTATGCTCCAAAGTAATACCTAAGTATTTGGAGGCAAAACGATGATCTAGTTGGATGCCTATCCAGCTAACTTGAAGTTTTCAAGATGCCCGCTTGTTTCTCAGAAGGAAGGTACATATCTGAGTCTTAGTAGGAATAGGTTTAAATTGATTTATATCATAATATCCTCCAGATTCTTCTAATGCATTTGCTAGAAGATGTTTTGTCATCACCAACTGCAAGATTATTTGCATAAATAAAACTTTTTTGTGGATTGTTGGTGTCAGTTAAACAAAGCAAGAGCCAGGATACAGCCCTGGCCTGGACCATTATTTCGAGTCTCCTCTTTCAATTGCATTGTCCTTGAAAGTTAATGACA